CGTCCTACTTACAGGCTTGTTTCTTATTTTGTTATTGTTATAGCAGCACTGGGAATTCCATAATTTCTTCTGCATTATTTCATAAATTGATATTTTCCATCCGTATTCAAACCAAATTCTTTATTTTTGTTGCTTTTCTTCTTCTGTTGTGTAGTAAAGTCTCTGCTGTTACCCCGTCTACCAGCTTCCTTCAGTTTTGGGGAGCAGGAAGAGATCTCCCAGTGACATTTCAACTTCTTATCAGCTGCCTTTCCATTGCTTCTGCTGCTTCTCAAGCCTGACTTTTACCAACATTTTATTAATGACTGCGTGTACTCCCTCCCTCCATTTCTGCAGTCCCTCAAATGCACTTTTGTCACTATTACCCATTGACAATGTGCATTAACAAGTTCGTTCAGAAGTTGCTGCACTGCTTGGACTCAGCCCATTCTACTGCTCACTTCAGAAAATAAATACGTTGACATTCTGTTTGGCAGAGCTTTGTCACAACTTGCAGCCTTTCCTCCAGCCCATCTGCTCCCCCAGCTGCTCAGTCACACCCTGCCCTGCATTTCAGTGTCCGTAACTGAAGCTAGATAAAACAGCCAATAACTGTTAGTCAGGATGTATCACTTCCCTTCCCACTGTCCCATCTGCTCCTCGCTCTCTTTCAGTTTTTCTCCTGTTCTCTTGCTTTTCTGTGTTGCTGTTATTTTTGGCGAATGGCTGCATTGCGGATGACCCAAATTCAAGGGAGGCATTGAAGTATTTGCTCATGTGTTAATGGAGGTGATTATGAAGGCTCAGAGATCAGTTTTGAAGAGTTGACCTTTATTTATCTAGGAATATTTTTGGAAAGAAAGCACTTTAAATTGCTTTTGAGATTGACAGGGTGGTCTCTCTCTCTTCGGTAGGGAAGCAAACATGAATGGGCCTTACTCTTTGGTTGAGAGCAATGAGCTGAACTTTAGGTCCTTAGATTACACTGGTAACAGGCATTCCAATTAGCAATCTGATTTTCCTTCCACTGGTTTTCCTAGTATGCGTAAGGACACATCTATGCTCCTTTTGTAACAGTGACTGTAACATCCCACAAATTTTAGTTGCTTCATCGCCTCCCTGCCAAAATCCTTTACAACCTATATGAACAGCCCATTGGAAAGAAGATTTAATTTTATTCTTCTAATGTACACATGAGTTGACATTAAATTACCTTTTAAACATTGCTTCTCTAGTAAAAAGAAGTTGAAAGGATGGAGCTGTAGTGGCCTTGAGAAGAATACTTGCTTCCCTTTGTATGTTTGGGAGGCAGTGGAACATAATGGAAGGACTAGGTTTTGCATAGTGAATTTACTTGACTTCTTCAACACAACAAACAGCACAAATTATATTTTGTTATAAAATTTTTTACAGATCGACTGTTAGGGTTGATTAGGTTAGAATTAAATCTGTAGATACTAATTACGTCATAAATATTCTATGTTTAAACTTGGACAACTCTACTAAAAAATGTACTAGAGTCTTTTCACCCTTTGAAAACCAAAGGCAGATGAAAATAAAGTAATGTAATCTATACTGTTACAGTTTGTAGTCTCAGGCACATCTTTCATGTCATGCTGGCCATCGTATCTGAGAGTTTTATTCCACAGCACGTGTTCCTATGAGAAACATTCAACTGGGTCTCCAGTTTTACTATGCAATCTGATTTTGTTTGCTTGGATTACCAAGTCTCTGAAAGGGTAGTTCAAAAAGAAATAAATATTGTGAATCTGTTTTGCTCTGTAAAGATGTATACTTGCAAACTCCAGAGTATCATCCAGGCAGCTATAGCTTCAGTGTCATTTTAACATGACATGCTCTTTCACCACTTTCCTGACAGTATGTCCAACAGGAAAGGAGAGGAGGCAAAGAGGCAGCAGAAAAAAAATCTGTTGCAATGGAATATATTGTTAAAGGCATTAAATTGTGTAATGAAGAATTGTGGTTGTGATTTTTGTTTTTTATTATTTTGTCGTCTTTGATGAAAATGACATGTTTTATATTCAGAAAGATGTAAATGCTGGTAGATAATTAAATCACAAATGTTACTATGGAATATCAAGAGCAATTTCAGTTGTTCTACATACATACATTGATACTTCTAGTGTAATAATTTGAGCACAGTAACTACTCAAGTACTTCTATAGTTAGCTTTTTCAGATGACATGAGATGTTAAGAGAATTTTTTTATTTGTTACCTTTGTGGCAGCTGGGTAAAAGCTGCACTGACATCAGAGACTCTCAAGAAAATTTGTACTGCTTTTTTGGATTGATGCCTAGCAACATTAGTGGAAATTAGCTACATACAGCCCATAAATTGTTCAGTTTCTGTCTGAATCATTTCTGTTTTAAACTAAACTAAACAAAAAAAAAAAAAAAAATCAGAGCTTTTTTGGCCATGTTGTTTGCCTTAGTGTTATTGCTTTGGGTTGCAAAACAGATATACCCCACAAACTTACTGGCTCGAATCAACTGCTTAGTGGAAAATGCCATCAAACACAAACTCTCTGATGGATTGCCCATCTCTAACTCTTTTCCCTAACTGAAACTGTTTCTCTATGGAGTTGATGCAGAAATTTGTTAGAGAAAAGGAGAATGAGAATAGATATGCTAGTGATATGCTATATAGATAAACTACAGTCTGAATTGATCAACACAATGTAAGAAGAGTGACTTTGAATACAAAAGTCCATAGCTGTTCCTTAATTAAACTTGGTTGTTAACACAGATTTAATAGCAAGATTTGGAACATTTCATCTGTATGCATTTATGCATTGTAAAAAGGCACATGCTTTGTTTGCTATATGGGAATACACATTCATACTGTACATTTCAGAAGGAGGCAAGATACCTGTCTGGGAACTGAAAGAAAATATTATGGGCAACTTTGGGGATGCAGTGTACTAAAAAGAGAAAGAGGTTTTACTTATTTTACTAAGTAACTGTGTCCGTGAATATTTGTATAATTTTCTTATATTCTCTGCCCTATCATACACTAGTTTTGATCTGGAGTTTTCAGAGGAAAGTCTCACTCTCTGTATTCACACGTGGGTGTTTTTCCCAGGGTTTTATGGAAGATTGACTGTTATGATATTGACATACAGGCCGATAGAAGCTTATCTATCTGTGTTTTTGTGCTGGCTCAGGCTGACTCATGCACTAGATATAGTTCCTGCTGGGACTAACATTTGATTTACCAGAGATCTATTTTGCAGTAATACATTAAAATTATGTTTTTATGCTTGTAATTCATTTATTTGAAATTTTGTAACTTAATAATCAAGCAGTTGAAACATTTGTTCCGATGCTTATAGAACTAGCAAACTAGCAATTTGTCTAGAAATGTATTTTTAAGTCTCTTTTGACCGTGTGCTAATTTTGTTTCAGGTATCTGAGCATGAATTGTAGTCTGGCTGCAGCTATTAAAGATTAATTACAGGTCTGTTTTTTTGTGGCTTGCTTTTTTTTTCTTTTTTTGATGCTGTAGTCACAAGACTGTTTTCTGTAACATCGTCATTTATGACACGAAGGCTGAGCACCTCCTGATATTTTCCTTAGTTTTCATGCACTGGCGAATGCTTATTACTTTGCACTCAGTCTTTTACAGATTCAAGCACTATATGAGGAGGCTTTCAGCCTGGGGACATGATAAACAAGATTTTACTTTTTATGCAGTAGTGTAATGAGGTAGTATTTTCCCCAAAATATGAGGACTGGAGAAAGCTAAAGCTTTCTACTTCTTTCACAGTCTTTCTGCAGTCTCCCTTGCCGCATTCGCATTTCTAGTGATAATACACAATATAAATATAGAAAAAGGTGAACTAGTGTATGATAGTCTTGCTTTATTTGGATCACTAGGACAACAATACAGGAACTTTACAACAGGTGTTTACGGTTCCCAAATATGAGCAGCAATGGTTGCACTGAAAAGTATTGGGATTGCATATATATTTAAGCAATCTTCATATGGAAATATCTGTTTATTAAGAGACTCAATCTAATCACCAGTTCAGATCTGACTAGATTCTTTCAGTGAAGTCTAATTAATTAACCAAAGCGTGAACGACTTCAGAATTTTTTTACGCTACTCGTTTTGTACTGATGTGCTTTACTTCATAGGGAATCCATTACAAAGTATTATCAGCCCCAGAAGCATGTTGTTTATTGCGTACACTGTCAACAAAAAGATATTCAAAGACTACATCTAAAAAGCAAAATTAAGACACCAAATATATAGAACTGTGTCCAGTTCTGGGTTTCCTGGTACAAAAAGGGCATGGATGTATTGGAATGAGTCCATCAAAGGATAACAAAAGCGGTGAAAGGGAACTGGAGCATGTTCTGTATAAAGAGTAACTGAGAGTGTAGGGTTCAGCCTGGAGAAGAGAAGTCTCAGGGGGGATCTTACCATGTGTATAGATACCAAATTGTAAGGTGGAAGAAACCAACTTGACACTGTTCTGCTCTAGCTAACTCTTCTTTGAATAGGCATGTTGGACTAAGTGACATCCAGAAGTCCCTTTGAACTTTAACTATGATTCAGTCCTGCTTTTGTCATAAAATCTTACCCTAAGTTAAATGGCATTGGTGGGAGTTCATAGAACAATAGAATGGTTTGGTTTGGAGGGGACTTTTAGGATCATGTAGTTCCAACCACCCTGCTATAGGCAGGGACACCTCCCTCTAGACCAGGTTGCTCCTGTCCAGCCTGGCCTTGATTGCTTCCATGGATCCACAGCGTCAGTGGGCAACCTGTTCCAGTGTCTCACCACCCTCACAATAAAGAATTTCTTGCTAATATCTGGTCTAAATCTTCCCTCTTGCAGTTCTGCTGGATATGTTAAAAGCTTTGGGAACTAATTCATAAGGATTTAAGCTTGTGTTAAACATTGTTTATCATAACCACAATGTCTTTTTCTAACAATGCTTGAAAAATTGTAGGGGCTGTTAACTTCATCTGCACCTTTTGTTTTGCCCCTCAGGAACGTTTCTTCTCGCCAAGAGTTCATCGTCGACTTCATGCTGTCCTAGCATCTGTTTGCACTTCAATGTTGATTTTATCAAATCTGATATTTCTTGGAGGAAATCATGTTGGAAAAATCTACTGGAACAGGATCTTTATGGAAGGCAAGTTTATTTTATGTGCTTTGTAGATAATAGAACTTTCCAAAAATTACCATGGGTAGACTGAGCCAGGTTCTTTCTCATTGCAAATTGGGAGAAACTTTTTTTTTCTGTTCCTGTTCAAAGCCATCAAAAATCTGCCTGTGTGACTATAAAGTCATATAAAAATCTGTTTTTAAAAAGTCACTATAAAAATCTGGCTGTGTGACTATAAAGTAACACTGGCTTTCTCCCATGAAGTACAGAAAGGGATTATCGTGCTTCTCTGTCAGTGAAATCACTGAAGATTGAATAGTAAATGTGTGATAGGTTAGCCAGGTGGGATTTTTGTTCTCTATATTTCACGTTCATCAATAGGAGAAGATATACTAAAGCCAGCCCTTTTGATTTTGCAGATGGTTAGTGAATTATGTCTGCATTTTTACAGCGTGACTGAGTGATTGACACTGATTTTGTAATGGATCTGTCAGGGTAGGGACCTTCCTAATGTAAGGATCTTGTGTGACAATATCAGCTTGTGATACTGTTGAATAATCATTATGTAGCTTTGTGCTGTGAACTCAACCACTGGATAAATCCAGCTTTATGTATTTGTTTATTTTTTTATTTAGCTAGAGCTCATAAGCAAGGCCAGTTTTCATTTCTGAGGTTTTTATTGCTATTGGAGAGCTACTTTGTCAAACAAAGGTCTTGCAGAGGAATCCTGCTTCCCTGCTGAAGTAGTACTGGGAAGTTTCTGTGCCTAGAAGTTCTCCCCTATGAAGACCTCCATTCCTCCTTCATGCAGTCTTTTTTCCTTATGTTCCTTGTGGTGCTTTAGTGATCAGTGCTGGAGTCCTACTTAAGAATATCCATATGATGAGAGTAAGTTATGTAGATCAAATGAATTATTTATCTTCTCTGCTTAAGAGAAAATTGTTGAAGCAGCACTGAGATGGTCACATTTTTAGCATAAAAAGTAGTTGACTTTTCTTGTTAATGCTGGGCAGGATGAAGTTGAATATTTGTGTTTGTGCTTTGGTCTGAAAACATGAAAGATTTGTTCACTGTTTTCTTGACAAAAGCTTCGTTTTCTGTTAAATTCTGCTCCTTCTTCACAATTAGTTGACTAATGCTTTCTCAGTATGAAAACACAAGTTAAGAGAATAAGTTTAGAAGAAGAATTGAGCATCAAACCTTATGGATAAAAAAAAAATCTAATGATGTTTTCCTTTCATTTTTATAGCTTAAGGCAAACTATTTTCAAATAAAATTTTGGTATTACTATTATTTTGGAAACTGCAGCATAGGAAGTTCCGCACAAACATGCGCAAGAACTTCTTTATGGTGAGGTGACGGAGCACTGGAACAGGCTGCCCAGGGAGGTGGTGGAGTCTCCTTCTCTGGAGATGTTCAAGACCTGCCTGGATGCCTACCTGTGCTACCTGGTGTAGGGAACCTGCTTTGGCAGGGGGGTTGGACTCGATGATCTCAGGAGGTCCCTTCCAACCCCTACAATTCTGTGATTCTGTGATTAGCAGTTACTGAATGCTGTTTTTTGAATCCAAGAAGGACAATGTTTTAACAGGTAAAACAGCATTAAGTCAGATCAATTATTGTTTTTCTAGAGTGGTGATGTTGTTTGGTTTTGTTTTTTTCGATTTTATATGTAGGTTTTTATTAAGAGATACCAGGTGTCTGAGATAGGGAGCACAAATTAGTTTGATTATTTGCAATTTGTTTCATGTACTGGTTGAGGTTGGAAAGGACCTCTGGAGATCATCTGGTCCAACAAGCCTGTTCAAGCAGGGGCACCATGCTTGATGTGTTTCCATAATGTGTTAAATTAACTTCAACTTTAGAACTTAAGGGCTTTTGATTTGTGCAGCTCATGCTGTACTAGTACAAATAGTACAGTACTGGTACAAATACAGTACTGTACTAAGAGGTAAGCTAGATTTATCTGTATCCTCAGATCACACGGATGACTGTGAGCGTATTTACTACTGGTTCTCACAAATCACGTACAGCAACTGAGAATCAGCTAAGATTTCATTGCATCTGCACTCCTGCTCCACTACAGTTTGCATACAATTGAATAAATGCTGTACGTTTCAGACCAGTCAAGTCCTCAAGGACTATTCAAAACTGTTGTCTTCAATTTAAAGTAAATTTAAATGTTGATTGATAGAAGACATAATACAAACCTACTCATGTGTCCTTCTGAGGTAAGGAGTAGAGTTCAGTATGAAAGAATAACTGCAGAAAGCTGTCCACCTGCATGCACATCAGCTGCACAAGAATAGTCATTTTCCTTCTTTTATTTAAATCCCATGGAATTGTTTGTATACAAACTTGCATGCATAACAGTAGGTGGAAGATAGGAAGAGAATAGATTTGCATCACACAGTTTATAAATAGAACTGGCATTTGTAGATCATTAGCAAAATTATTCAAGGTCCTGGATGCCCAACTTGAGCAATAAAATACATCCCAAAGCAAAAATCAGATTTCCAATTAGGTGGAACTTCAGGTATTGTGCATGGAATTCTCAGGTCTGTCAAGGAAGTGAATATCGGTATTTTAAAACCTCATGTGCCCACTGTGTACCAGTCAGAAATTATGAGTTCTGTTGCATTACTGACAGGTAGCAGTGATTTTTTATTATCTGCTTTCTTCTTATGGAAAATAAACTCATCTGGCTTCAAAATGAACTTCTCAGCATCATTACAAGCACTGCTGTCAATTTCAGGAACAGGTGTCTGTGTTTGTTACCTATGTGTATTTGTTCTAAATTTTTTTTCTCCAACTGTTTGGACAGGCCTTATGGCTTCTAAAACTTAACTTACAGCTGAGGGACCTGTTTGGAAAGGCAGCATTGTAATGCTTTTGGTTAACAGAATGAATTATCTTAGCAAGCATGGCTGAAGGTAATAAACTGGGAGGAGACACAAGTATGTTGAGGGATACAAAAGGTATAAAATGCATAAAATGCTCCTTCCTTAGTTTAGGAGGAACAGAGTACAGATCAATGAGGAAAACGCACAGTGCATTGGAGGTGTATTTTACTTTGATTAGCTGTCTAGACATTGGACAGCTGTTGTTAAACTCAACTGTAAACCAGTCTTTAACCGTCCAATTTACCTCACTATATTGCAAATAGTGCCTCTCCTGAGGGCACTTTAATCCCACATACATCTTGGCATGGGATGAGATGCACTGTCACTCTTCACTTCATTCAGAGTTGTTTTGTACAGAGTAGTTATGATTAGATTGGACGTCTAACCTTTGAGAACGTGTCCTTCAGTAGGCAACCAGCAAAGAGCAAATTTCACCCCCAGTTAGAAATGATTTACTGCAGGAGCCCAAAATGGCTGGCTAGGCAGAAGCTCTGCAGTGAAGGGTATCTCTGACCGTTGTACCAGGCTGCAAACTTTGTGAAGCAACAATATCATGCCACTTCCAACAAAAATAGACCCTTATGCCAAGACATGCTGACAGCAGTATGAAATGCATAAAATAACCTCTTCTGCTTGACATTCTGATGTTTAAACTTAAAACATGTCCAGTTTTGGTTACTCCGGGTTAAAAAAAAAAAAAGCATCAGTCAATTAGGGAGAGCAGAATGCAGCAAAATAGTGGGGAGTCTAGGAGCCATGAAACTGAAGTAAATGACATTGTTTTGTTCTGAGAGGACAGCATTGAGGAGAGATAGAAGAAAACAGAAATTTCCGAAAAGAAAGTGTTAACAACCTAGTCACTATTCCCAGTGAGCTCAAGAGACTGAAAATGACTGTGAAAGGTAGCAGGGAAGCTTTAGCTGAGATAGGAGGAACTTTCAAACTGTGAGGCACAGTAAATACCGAAACACATTATCGAGGCAGGCTGTTGGATTGCAGTCTTTGGAGGACAGTCTCCAGGTAGAGAAAAATCTGTCAAGAAATGGAGAACTTTCTCTGATTTGATTAGACAATTGATTTTGTCTTGGTGTAGGAGGAACCCCTGATTGGCCTCCAGACCTATTTCAAGCCCTATTTTCTGTAGGTAGTTTATCAGCAGATACAACTGACAGAAATCTGTGTGCAACACAGCAGGATTTTGGAGGGTTTTTATTTTTTTTCCTTAGTAAATTAAGGACTTTGATAATGTATAAAAGGGCAGTTTCAGTAACTTTCTCACTATTTCTGCTTGAAGTTGGAGTCAGGTGGTGGAAATATCTCGTAGCACTGTGAGCAAGATACAACTTAGTGGAAGTGATGGTGCAATTTTAAGCTACCAGCAAATACTGTCAGGAAAATTGGAAATATTTGCTCTTTCACGTTTGACCTTTCCTTCTAGCATTTAGGATGGAATGCGTAGTACCATATGTGAATGTTTTTGTTAGAAATATTTCTAAAAGCATTTTAAACCAATTGTTTTATATAAAACTAAAGCTAATTTCCAAATGCTTAATTGAAAATGGAAGACCTTTATTTTGCCTCTAGTTTTCTCTTTCAACTTGCTTTAAGCAAAAATAGATCTTATGCTAACCAGGTTTATTTGGTTAATTTGTAGTGAGTAAAAAGATTTTCTTACCATTAAGGAGTGACTGGCCAGCTTTATTGACATCTTCACTTCTCTGCAACCCTACCTCATATTGTGTTCCATGAAACATCTTAGCCATTGACTTGTGAGTGGGAATTTCCATGAATGTGACATAGGAGATTCAAAGGTTTGAGAGTGACAAAGAGTTTGGTGTAATGCATTTGTTGTAATATGCATAAACGTGGAATTTTTGTTTTGCTTTGGCAAAAACAGTAGGAGATCATTATCTTACGACATTAAACTCAAATTACATTGTTCATTAATTATATTATATCACTGAAGATTATTCTCCGAGCTTATTTGTTTCTTTTTAAATAGATCATGTAGTGAATGAGTTGTGAATTTCAAAGGGTATCAGGATGCTTCAAGACACGGCCCTGGAATGCTGTTGTCCTTAGAAGTTTTGCCCTTGGTTTTGAAGACAGTAAAAAGATTTCTAT